CCCCACTCGCATGTCTCCACACGAACGACCTGGATCGAGTCGTCTGTAACCTTTACAGAGTGGGTCGTATCCATAGTGTTGTCAGTATAAGGTACCCAGCCTTATCCATATACTATAGACCCTTTAGGTTATTCACGAGACATTATCCACTTGTATATCAAATATATACCTCGTATATCAGGAGTATATCAAATATATACACAGTACATATACTGTCCCGGTTACACTAAAATAACCTCGGATGTTTAGTTTATTGGATTTTGGACAATGCAATGCTATGAATTCAACAACAAATTTATTGAATAAAACTTTATTGAATATAATTTGTTTTTACAAAATACAAACTACGAGCTTAGGGCAACACACCCAACAAATTTKGTCCCTGAAGTTTCAAAATAAACATTTTAGTCCCTAATATTTGAAGTAGGTGTCGATTTGGTTTTTAAGTTTCAAAATAAACACTTTTAATCTCTAAAGTTTGAAAATTTGTTCTAAATGATCCCTAAACATTCATTGACCATTAGTTGACCTAACGGAAAAATGACGTAGCAATTAACAGGTGGCTGGACATTTACAAATTGTTTTTTTAATAGTTTGTAAAATAAATATTAAACTTTTACAAAAAAATTTTGTGAGGTGTCATTTTTTAATTAATTTTTTTTCTTTCGCTTTTTATCTTCTTGCTACCATCACTGATGTCCACCGCCACCATCGTCGATGTCGCCGTTCAGGGCCATTGTCGCCCACCGTCGTGCCGATGTTGCTGCCCACGGTAGAGAGGGAAAGCTCCTCCCTCTCTTCCCCATTCCAGTTCTGGAACGAGGGAGAGCTCCTCCCTCTGCCCGGTGGACAACGACGATGGTCGAGGGCAACGATGGGTGACGGTGGATGGTAGAAGAAGATGAATAGATCAAAAGAAGAGAGAAGGGAATAAAAATTAATAAAATTGTTTAAAAATTAATATTTTTTTCCAACTCACAAAAAGCAAATTAAAAAAGTCCAGTCACCGCTACGTCATTTTTCCATTAAGTCAACTAACGGTCAGAGAATGTTTAGGGACCATTTAGAACAAATTTTCAAGCTTCAGGGACCAAAAATGTTTATTCTGAAACTTAAGGACCAAATTGACACCTACTCCAAATCTTAGAGAATGTTTATTTTAAAACTTTAGAGATCAAATTGACACCTACTATAAAGCTCAGGACCAAAAATGTATTTTTGCCTATTATTAACCATGCTTTACAACTATTATTATTTATTTCTCGTAAGAGATGTGGGACCCACAACTTAACAATCAATGATTTTTTTTTTCAAATTGAAACGACCTAATTTTCCAAGTTATTTAATGACTTGATGGGATGATAACGATGAATGTAAAATTTACTTTTCTATTGTATAAATGAAAATTAATTTCACTTGTAAAAATGCTAAAAACATGGAAAGCTAAAAAGGTAGATGAACACACGACATTTTTAACGTGGTTCGGTTTCACAACCTACTCCACGAGGCCACGCCCAGAGATTTAAAATAGATCATCAAAAGATTAGTACACAATACATATTCTCTTATGCATAAATTTAAAAGAACTCCCTTCTTTATTTTTATGTCGCAATCCCTTGCTCCAATCCTTTTGACGATCTATGTGCACATGCTCCCCTTGTGTCAGATTCAGTGTGTTCAACAACGGTTTATGAAGCTCGCCGTCTTCATTCGAAGTACGTTCTCAATATATATAACTAAAAAAGAACAAATAATTTGTTTTCAGTTTTCACCAACAAAGGATCAAGCAGTAAGTAAGGAAAATATGGATCCGTTTGTCTAAACCACCTTTCAATATTTAAAGAATAAAATCACTCACCGGAAAATATTCAATTTATCAATCAAAATTAAGACTAGCCAAATGAAAGGCGATGAGATAAGGAAAACAATCAATCCTTCAAATCTCTCGATCAAATATATCACAAATTTCAAATAAATCCATGTGACAAAATTACCAAAAATAAATAATTAATGCTTAAGGAAATTATGAAAGAAATCCAAAAATAATGCCACTGAATGAAACCTTTTCACAAATTATTCAAAAAATCATGTTTAAAAAATTACTCTGAAAAGTCTACTTCAACATGAGGGTGGAGTAGTTGTAAGTTTCTCTCTTTTAAATTTGTAGCATATACTCTTTTAAAGACGACTAACCAAACATTTGCACCACGTGTTACACATCGATCCCTGCAATCAATTCTTAAAAAAATAAATAAATAAACTCCTATGTCCCAATGTTTTCTAAGATTTTTTTTAAACGAAATTTAAACTAAATATAACTGCATAACAACCCGTTTAAAAACAATCTAACAAACTCTACAAACCAATTTTGTTTAAATTGATTTAACTAATTAAACATTTAAAATTTAAACTAAACCACTTTAAAAAATTAGATCAAATTGTATCATGAGGTCTATTCTCAACAATATTGATGAAAAATGAACCAGAGAAAATGACAACTCAAAAGGCCGTTTCGAATTACCATTTGATCTATTTTTTTTTAAGTTATATTTAGTTTAAATATTTAATGTTTAGTTTTTTAATTAGTTTGTTTTAAGATTTTGTTAGATTATTTTAAACGGTTTGTTAGATTTAACTTAAAGTTTGTTTTTTTAAAGAAAAAATGACTTGGACTAGCAAGTGTGGTGAGACGATTTAAAAAAAAAATAGTTAGATTCGACATACTATACGTCAAGAGACAACATGCTACGCCACGTATGAAGGTCGTCGGTGACGACCTTCTCCCTACTGGCAAAGGGACTATTGGGAGCATTATTTATTTATATTATTTTTAAAATAATTTTAGAATTAGTATTATCTAAAAAAGAAAATTCTCAATATGAATATATCACATTTACTCTACATGAATAAGGCAGTTGGTACATTTTTTTTCTTCGTTTGAGTTTCCATTTGTAGATAGCAATAATCCAAACTATTAAATATTAAAATAATGATATGATTATTATTATACTTTACATGTTACAAGAATATTTTGTTTAGTTCAATGATTACTAGAGATCAAAGTTTGAACCACCGATAATTAGAATGATAAGTTGTGTATTATCTCTAACATGAATGTTAAAATCATCTTTAAGAATAAAATCGGATGGCTCATCGGTCCAAATAGATTAGGATAAATTGATAGAGAATGTATTCAAATCTCATGATAGTCGCTTCAATTTGTTCTTAGCAATACATATGAATGATTTGTAAAATAAAAAAACTAATGATAAATTTGCATATTGCGATACTGAATGAGTTGAAAAAAATTTAGACCAGGAATAAAACTACTTAAAGAAAACGGAGGGAAAAAAAATTAGGTAAATTTCTTGAAAATTGGGAGGAAGAATTAAATTTAAAAAAAAATCTCTTAAATTCTAAATTTATTTCTTATTTCCCACCAATTCATATATCATGTCACAATAACATTACTGGTTAATTTTAATATATCAAATGAAATTATATAATTTATTTAAAAAAAAGAAATTATATAATTTAAAAAGGTTACGTGTAAGAAACTAAATTAAAATTTTAGAAGGATTAAATGGAAAATAATATTAAGGGACTAAAATATTTATTTAAATTCTAATTTATTAGTATTTTTTTAATACTTTAACAAATCAAACTATATTCATATGAATAACTTGTTATCAAATTAAACTTTAGAATAAATTTACTCAATATTCACTTGAAACAGTTGCCCAATATTATCAGTGGCTAAATTTTTAAATATTTAATGGTATATAAATTAATAAAGTACGTAGATAAAAATAAAGAAATAAATAAAATAAAGATGTGATGTGAAACACTGTGAGCACCTTTTTACCTTTCTGTCTTTGCGTTTCAACCCAGCCGAAGTTTTGAATGAATAAGTGATGAGGGGTATAATTGTAAAAGACACGTTGGAATACAGTCAAAAGGAAGGGATATATTCGTAAATATCCGGTTGGGTGGAGGGACAAAGCTAGAAAAAAAATTTGGATCATTTCTCGATTTGTGCGTGTCATCCTTGTGCGGGTCATGCTAATCTTCTCAGTATCGTTCCAATTTGATCGGATGTCCCCGAAGGGACGGCATATGGTTTTAGCGCCTCCTGATTTGAAGCGTTAAATATAACTAAAACTGACCGATGTGGGACAAATAGCTGCTTCCAAACGACAATTGGTTCACAATCTGACAGGTACTAGTCTAGGTCTAGTCTGATAAGACTGAATTAGATCGACACGTCGAAAACTAGTCCCCTGGGAAAATGTGCCGCCGGTACCTTTCATTTTAATTACTTGTTTTTTATTAATTAACTTTTTAGAATAGGTTTATTATTAATTATTTCTTTCTTAATTATATATATGAGATAAGCATTTATCTTTTTCTTCCCTGAGAGTTTAGAATGCAAATTTAATAATGGGCCTATTTAGTCAGTAAATTATTATAAAGTTAATAAGTCTTTCAACCTTTAATTTTAAATTTAGTATTAATATTATCATAATGTATCAATTAGACTAATAAATGATATTATGGTATTGACATGATCTATAAAAATAGACTAATAAAATAAAATAATAATATTAAAAAATTCAATGAGACAAGCATACGAAATAGAAATACATTTAAGATCTTATTTTACTTGATTACCTCCTTCTAATGTTAAAATCTATACAAATAAATTTAATTAATATATCACATAAACATTTAAGTATAAGTAAAAGTATTAAAAATGGAGACTTAAACTTCTTTCATTAGTAATTTTCTAAAGAAACGATAGGCAGTTATCAAACAAGTCAAAGTTAAACAAATAAATTATTCATTCTAACTAACATTTATTCTCATTTTATAATTTTAAAAGAAAATAATTTATAATTTTCATCATATAATTTCCAAAAATATGATTACAACCTGTGAAGTTAGGGATCGGATATATCTTCATCGGACATATGAACATATACATCAATTATGGTAAATATTACAGCTTCTAAAACCATAATTCAAAGAATTCTCGGGATTTCGATGAAGAACTCTTCAAACATTTCTGTTATCCATTGGACCCAAAATGCAATCAATCTACGGACTGGGCTCTTCCCGCTATCTCCAATTTCCCCAATTCCCTTTCCGTTCGATCTCCAAACATTCTCCGCTAAAACCTCGCTGCAGCCATGGAAGCGAGAGCAGAAGAACAAGCCTCAGTCTCAGAACCACATGGCCCTCCATCTCCATTGCCCTATTCGGGTCAGGTTTTCTTTTAGGCCCTCTCCTCGACGGACTCCATTCGCGGGTCAATCTCGTGGTTTATCAAACAGGATCGATTGACGTCGGCCCGCTCCACACCAACATCTGGGTAAGATTGTCGTATCGGGATTCGAATTCGATATTAGGTTTTCATTATCGTTAATTATTCTCCATTCGAACTCTTCGATCAATCCGTAGGATGCGCGATGATTCCACCATCGTTTTTGAATCTTAATGCTACTAGGTTCCTTTCTTGCTGGGATTGTTTTACTCCACTGTTGGGTTGATGCAACTCTACATAGATGAAAATTTCTCACGAAATAGTTCAGAGGGGAGTTTGGGCAGGACAGTAGCATCCCTAATGTGAGTGTTCTTTCACTAAATTTCCTGAGTAGAAACTTGGAGATCAAAGTATTCGGTGCTTGATTCTTGTATTGTTTGTCATTATTGATCAGAGCATTGGCTTTGTTTATTGAACTGAGTGCTGAAATGTACAAAGCTGGAGTGGCAGACAACATAGAGGCATATGCTTTGTTTGCTGGGGCTGAGTTGATTTGGGCATTTCTTGATAGCTCGTTGCTTGGCTTCTCACTGGCTTGTGTTGTTGGCCTTGGCTGTCCTCTCGCTGAGATTCCCATTATGAAGTATGTGAATTCTTTTCTATTCATCTACTATAGTTTGATGATGTTTATTGGTTCAGAACACAGTCTTACAGTTGATTTACTTTGGTTATAACAATTTGGTTCAGAACATAGTCTTATAATGGTTATTTTCTTTGATGTTAGAAATTTTGTTGTAAGCGAACGAGCCATATGAATGAGTGTATGATTGGAGTACATTTGAGTTCGGATTACAGTGAGGTTCATCTAATTTATTCACTTGGCCTTGCTTTGGATACCTAATTCGCTACTTGGTAGAATTTGTAATGAAATTTGAACATCAAGGACTTAATTGTTATATTACATCTGTGAGGAGTATATTGTTATAGAGAAAAATATGAGGGTTAAAACTTTATGAGAGCCAAAAGCAGATGAACTCAGTATGTTTTGACCTTATTTATTTTAATACAAGAAGAATGAGAATATGATAGGAACGCTATTATGGTGGCAATCAGGGATATTATTAAGGTATTAAGGATATGTTGTTATTGGTTATAATTAGGGGGAGTGGAAGTAGATGAAGGTAGGCATCGGTTTAGTTGATTTAGGCTTTAATGGTCTCAAGAGAGGAGGGTCGAAGAATCTCAAATTACTTGGTGGTTACCTTTCTGTATTTTCTTCGTTATGTATATATTTCTTTGGTTCCTATTAGAATAGTATATAAGGTAGAATAAGTTGAAAAGATTGAAACTTCCCACTTCTATGAAAGAACACCAGCCTTATGTAACAAAAACAGGATGAACTACCCCGCCTCCAAGCCCCGACCGAGTACGCCATGGAGGCCAATGATAGTTTACTCAAGTGAACTTACAGAAAATCATGCGACACCCCTAGTAGTTTAAGTGATTTGATTAAAAGACAAAATGATCCTGTTTTCAGGAACCAAATTCTTCTTCTTGATCTGATGCTTATGCAGGTTCTTCCATCTCTGGTCTTACCCACAAGCGAATGTGGAGATCTTTGGGGAGGTAAGCGATGAAAAACACAGATCAGAAATTGATGGGAAAAATGCAAAAAAATTCTTTCCCCGAAAATCTTGAAGTTTATTATTTTTTTGGTGTAATGCAGGGGATAATCAGCTGGATAATCACTTGCTATTTTGTGTACACTCCATTCTTGATTAATCTATCAAGATGGCTCAAGTCTGTGGTGGATGCTGCTGCTGTAAAGAAAGATGAATCTGCTTAGTAAAATCTTTTGTGTGCCAAACAGATTGGAAGGTAAATATTTAATTTTCATTTTAATCTCCCTACTCTTTGTATTTTGTGCATAATACCTTGTACATAATGGACACTTGTCATATATCAAGGTGCTTCAATTTCTTATTTATCACAAAACGATTTTCCATTTCCAATAAGCTCATTTCAATCTTCATTTTCTTTACTTCCAAATCAAGTTTTTGGTGGTTAATAAATGCAAAGCCGAATTTTTTTAAGTGCTTGATTAAGTATATTTGTAATTCTCATAGTTTGTTTTGTAACACTATAAAATTAATATAAATTCAAAGGATATGATATCCTTAAGCAACATTAGCAACCCCAAAGTTTTTTTTTTTTTTTTGAGAAATAACACATTAATAAACTTGAAAGGTATATGTTCACTTTAGTACATCTTTGAGCTAGTTGGGGATACAATCCCCCCACTCCGCTTTCACTATTCATCGCTTTTTCGCCAAAGCATGAGTCACTATTTTCTTCTCTCCTCTTATATAGGTCATTGAAACTACACCTTTATCTTTAGCACAACGGACTATAAAATTGTAGTCATATCGGTATCTTATTTGGTTAAGGGACGAATTGCTCGTAGCCCACTGCATATAGCCAAAATTTCAAGAGCTTTTTAACATCTTCCTTGTCCTCGATGTTGCAACATTCTGCTTTGATTACCTCTCCTTTCCAATTGCCCATGCTACGATTCTCGTTCCAAGCTGCGTCCGTGTTGATTTTCTAGAAATTGGTTGGTGGGGGAATCCAACTTGAGTTCGTGCTGTAGTTCATTAATTCAATTAAATGGTGGGGGAGTCAATGGATAGGTTTGTGTAGCGGGTTTGAGTCTATTTGGTAACGTTCTCGTTCTTTGTTTTTGTTTTCTCAAAAAAAGAAAAATAGAATTGCATGGCTCTCAATACTCGTGGAGATAAGATCTTTATTTGTGTTGGAACAAAAAGAAAACGAGAGTTTTTTTTGTCTTATTTGTTGTTTTGTTGTTTCCAAAATTTTTATAATTTCGAAAATTAGCTTAAATAAATGAGAAACCATAAATTGTGAAATACTTAAATTACTTATAAAATTAGAAAAAAAAAACAAAAAAACATGAACGTTACCAAACTACCAATATACTATTGTTCATTAATTCGATTTGATTGCGAATCCATTATTGTAGTAAATATGCGGATTCAATAATGATGCTTTAACCTCTTACATAATGGTACCTCAAATTCATATTTTGTCACGAAATAATTTAGTACCCTTTTAAGTAGTTCATTTCAACATTACAGGCACAGCATTATCATCTCCAAGTTGATAAATTTTGTACCAACTAATAAATTGCAATAAAACCCTAGCTTAAAAGCATCCAATACAGCCAAAATATTCAATAACACCCATAAAAATAGTTATTTCTATTTACGAGAACGTCCATAATTAGCCCCAAAATTTTCCAAAAATAAAAAATAGAAAAAACTCATCTAAGAGGTAATTATTACCTTTTCCACTTATTTTGTTTAAAAATCTTATTATATGAACTAAAACCAAGCACAGGAGTGAGAGAAAAAAAAATGAATGGTTCTGGCTTTCTCTTTTATTACTCACAAATTCATTTTAGTCCAAATCGATGTTCTACTGGATTTCTCTCTCCTTCTCCTTCTCTGACGTGATTGAAGTTTATAACCTGACTCCGGTACTGTAGATAATGATTTCACTGATTCTCAAATGATTGTTCTCATCTATATAACTGTTTTGGATCACTCACTTCTTTGGTCAATGTAGGAGTATGTTTGCACTAACTTCAATAATTTAACCAATTGAATTATGTTCGGTTCTACTCTTTGACCATGATGGTGGCTAATAAATGGCCAAACCAACCAAAATAGTAGAGAGAAAGAAAATCCATAATGGCAAATTCATTCACTTGCACAATTTTCTAAAAAAAAAACTCAAATCCATGGCCTATCTGCAAGTGGGTTTTATCTGGAGAGAAAACTATAAAAATCAGTACTTTTTTAGTATTTAGTCCCACCTTCCACCTCTTCCTCATTCATCTTCATCTTCTGTTTCTCGTGCCACCAAAATTCAGATTTTATTTAATCCAGATTGTATTTCTTATTTTTAGATTCATTTAATCAAACAAATTTGGTAAATATGTGTTCGGCATGGTTTGACATATTTACTCTTTTAAAATTATTTTCAGATTCTAATCCAAATATTAAAAATTGTGAAATTTCAGTATTTTCATATTTTGAATTTGAAACTTTAAATTACACAATTACATTAAATAAAAAATAAAGATAAAAACTTTGATAAATTATTTCATGTCATAAATCTATAAAATTAAAACAAGTAAAATATAGCATATTGTAAATTATACAATATTATAAAATAATAATTATACAAAATTTATAACTAAACTGTTAATAAATTAATCAATATTAGAATAGATTAAACTAAATATTTACTTGGTAATTATTAGTTACCAAATATTGAACAAATTTTTAAATTAAGATTCAACTTTCAAATCTTCTACCGAAACACATATTAAAAACCGTGAAAACAAATAATACAATCATGCTTCTCACCGAACCTCCCTTGTTTTTAGATCCGTCTTCTAATCACCAACCGAACGTGCTTTTAATAACTCCCCTACCCAATTGGCAGTACAATTTTTTGCAGTTTAAGAGGCCACATTATTTAATTTTCATACAAAAATACACCCATTCTTAGTTGTCTTTCATTTCCCTTTCTGTTTTTTGGCTCACTTTTTGTTTGCTGCAGCCAGTGGGCGACTTAAATGAGAGGGCTGCTAAATGCAAGCTTGCTTCATTTATTGCCTAACTTTTATGAGCCCACTCAGCTGAATGCTCATCTCTCTGGTGGGGAGCGTTGGCTAAACATCATATAGAAAAATAAATGAAAGTATAAATATTATATATATATATATATATATTTAACAGCCTTAACTTTTTCTTGTACTTTTCTTGAACTTTTTGTTGTGTCTGTGATTCTGTTGCTGTTGAGTTTTCAAATCCTGCGATTCAGATCTTGGCTCTTGTGAAATATGGGCATGGTATGGTTGCTGTTGAAAGATGGGTCTGAAATTAAGGCCTCGAGACTACTTAACATGTACCGATGTTTACTGTATGTAAGAGACGGGATATGTTGACATTTCTATATGTTCATAGTTTCGATACGAAGAGTGAACCAACGAAATATAAATATATATGTTTATAGGTAAACAAAATATCACTAATATGAACTTAATATTAAATATTGATAATATTTGGTAAAATGTGTTTATTTGTTTATTTTTATAATCTTTTCAAAACTATTCGTCAACCGCCGTATTTTATCGATACTTTGTGACGCCCGAATAGAGATAGGGGTATATGGATGAATTAGTACCACATCCGAATGAAAGAAATTATGAGATCATAGAAGTATGGTTAATAAAGGCTTAAAAGAGCGATAATTACTACCTATACTAACAAGATGGATCGTTCTTTTCAGTGACTCAATTATAAAAACTTCAAAATTAAGCAGGTTTGACTTGTAGCAATCTTGTGTTGGTTGACCTCGTAAGGGATTTTTTGGAAAACATGTAGGTGAGGACAAAGCATGCTAAAAAACTCATGTTGGTTTATAACGATGGTCTTCACTCTTCTAAAGTAACTCAGATAAAGATGGTTGCACATGCCCTCGACCTAGGACATTACATATTTCCATTGACATTTTGATAAAGTTAAGGCATTGACATTTTCATTGACATCAACATTTAAAATTGGTTTTAACGCTACTAAAGACTTGACAACTCTTCAATCTTTTTGGAAAATAGAAAATATTACCTCCCAAAATTTTAACCACGATTGATAAAAGATGGGTCAGCCAGAACATGATCATCCTAGTAGGATTTTTTTACCTTTTTTGCTTAAGTAAAAAAAAAATACTCTCTTTGGCCACATTTTCCGATGTTTCTCTTAAAGAATAAGACAAAAAGAAAATGGGGTGGAGATAGAAAGTTGAGAGAGTTTATGCTAAACTTGACAAGATTGGTGAGTTTCAATGACAAGACTTCAATCCGAAGGTTCACTTTCTCTCCTTTGATGGTGAACTGAGAGAAGGCAATTTGGGTGGTCCATTTGGTAAGTGGTTGATTCATTTATGCAATCATCATCGTTTCGAGTATTAAAAACATTTATGTTAATGATAGCGAAGGCCTGTTATTTTTTTTTTTCTGTTTTTCTTAACCATAAAAAATAGAATGACATGTCTCCAACATGGTCCATGAATTCAATAATGATAAAATTATATTTTTATTTATATTTTGTAACAAATTAAAAATAAAATAGAAAATAACAAAATTTCTATATAATTTGACAATGTTTCTAAAAAAAATAACATACAAAAGAATATAATAAATAATTGTAAAATATTTAGGTTTTTTTAACAAAATTGGAAACAAAAAAAAAGCCGTGAAAAACTGTCAATAGTAAGCGGTAAATTTTTTAAAGAGAGAAAAAACAATTACCTCTCATTTGCCTCTCATTTTGTCAAGAGGAAAGGGCTTGGAAATCTGAGAGAATTTTTAAAAGTAAGACTCATTTGGTCCATCATCAAATTTTTTAAGTTTTGTTTCATGAATATTTTGTTTGTTGTTTTACGTTTTTTCAAATTAAACGTGTTAACACTACTTTTTTATTCATGTTTTTTAAATCTAAGCCAGATTTCTTGAAAACTAAATAAAGATACTTCAAAAACTTTTTTTTAAAAAAATTTGACTAAAAATTCACCTGTATTTTTAAGAAAAGTGAAAACATGCTAAAAAAATTGTGACACAAGTATAATTTCAAAAATATAAAACTAAAAACAAAATAATTATCAAACGGAATCTAGTTATATATTCATTTGTCTTTTTATTTTATTCAAATTACCTACTCTTTGTGTCATGCTACAACTCAATATTTAAATAATAATAATGTTATCAACGTAGACTAAAGATAAATTCAACTATTAAAATATATTCAATTTTTTTAGTACAACAACACGTGAGAGTAAGGATTCGAATTTATAATCTTTTGGTGCGTATATGTATCTTAACCAGTTTGAACTATGCTCATGTTGATTATGAA